GTGAGTCTAGCTAACGGTCCATCAATCTTGTTTATCTTTTCGAAAAACCAGCTCTTTGTTTCATTAATCCTTTGAATTGTTGTTGTTGTTGTTGTTGTTGTTGTTGTTGTTGGTCTCTTTGTCATTTATTTCTGCTTTTATCTTTACTATTTTTTTCCTTCTACTTGATCTGGGTGTTTCTTTTTGTTTACTTTCTAATTCTTTAAGTTGTAAGGTTAGAAAATCAATTATTCTTGCTTTTTTGAGGTAGGCCTGTAGTGCTATGAACTTCCCTCTCAAGACTGCTTTGCCTGCATCCTATAGATTTTGTGTTGTTGTGTGTTTGTTTTCATTGTTTTCCAGGGTGTTTTTAAGTTCTTCCTTGTTCCCCTTAGTAACTCATTCATTGTTTTATAACATGCTATCTAGCCTCCATGTGTTTGAATGTTTTTGCTGTACTTGGTTTCTATTTTCTTGCCATTGTGATCTGAGAAGATGCTTGATATGATTTCAATCTTCTTGAACTTGTATGCATTTAGTTTGTGTCCTACCATGTGGTCTATCTTTGAGAATGTCCCTTATGCACTTGATAAGAATGTATATTCTGCAGCTTTGGGGTGAAATGTTTAGTAAATATCAAGTAAGTGCAACTGATCTAGTTTGTCATTTAAAGACTCTGTTTCCTTTCTAACTTTTTGTGTAGAAGATTTATCCAGTGGTTTTAATGGAGTGTTAAAGTTACCAATATGATTGTATTGCTATTGATCTCTCCCGTGAAGTCCTCCAGAGGTTTTTAAAATATATTTTGGTGCCCCTATATTTGGTGCATATATGTTTACCAGGGTTCTATCCTCTTGTTGGATTAATTCATTTAGTATTATGTTGTGACATTGTTTGTCTCTTATTATGGCCCTCAGTAATGAGTATTGCTACACAAGATTTTTTTCCATTTCCATTTGCCTGGAAAAAATTTTTCCATTCCTTCACTTTCATCCTGTGTGAGTCTTTTGTTTAGAGGTGGGTCTCTTTTAGACATCATATATATGGGTCGTGTTCTTTTTATCCAATCAGCTACCCTATGTCTTTTGATTGTAGCATTTAAGCCATTTTCATTTAAAGTTATTATTAATGCATACTTATTCATTGCCATTTTTATTTTATGCCTGTGTTCTTCTCTATATATATATTTCTTCTTCATCTTACAATGGTTTATTTAACATATCTTGCAGTGCTGGTTTGGTGGTAGTAAACTGCCTTAGCTTTTTTTGTCTGTGAAGCTCTGTATTTCACCTTCAATTTTGAATGATCACCTTGCTGGATAGAGTAGTCTTGGATTCAGACCCTTGACTTTTATTATTTTGTATACTTCATGCCACTCCCTTCTGGCCTGCAGAGGTTCTATTGAGAAATCAGTTGACACTTCTGATGCAAGTTTCCTTGTAGGTGACTTTTTGTCTGTCTCTTGCTTCTGTTAAGATTCTTTCTTTGTGCTCGGCCAGTGTGGATCAGTAGTTGAGTGTTGGCCCATGCACCAAGAGGTCACTGGTTCAATTCCCAGTCAGGGCACATGCCCAGGTTGTGGGCCAAATCCCCACTGGGAGGCATGCAGGAAGTAGCCAGTCGATGTTCTCTCTCATTGATGGTTCTATCTCTTTCTCTCTCTCCCTTCCTCTTAGTCTACAATCAGTAAAGAAAAGAAAAAAAGATTCTTTCTTTGCCTTTAATGTTTGCCATTTTAATTATGATGGGTCTAGCTGTGGGTCTTTTGGGGTTCATCTTGCTTGGGACTCTGTGTTTCCTAAATTTGTGTGACTTTTTTCTTCACCAAATTAGGGAAGTTTTCTGTCATGATTTCTTCTAACAGGTTCTCTATTCCTTTTTCCAGTTCTTCTCCTTCAGGCACCCTTATGAATGTACACTCTGTGTACATTAAGCTCCCTTAAACTCTCCTCCTGCTTTTTAATTTTTTCCCCATTTGCTGCTCTATTTGGGTGTTTATTTCTATGTTCTCTTCTAACTCACTGATTCACTCTTCAGCTTCTTCTAATCTACTATTGAATCTTTCTAAGGTATTTTTTTATATCAGCTATGTTATTCTTTATTTCCACTTGATTTTTATTCATAGCTTCTACCTCTTTTTTATGCTAATGTAGTTCCCTCTGAGTTCTTTATTATTCTCATTAAGTTTCTTGTAGTTATCACTAACTTGTTTGAGCACCCTCAAAATCATTGCTTTGAATTATTTATCAGACAAATTGCTTGCTTCTATTTCATGTAATTGCTTTTTGGGTGATTCCTCCTTTTCTTTCATTTGGGTTTGTTTCTTTGTATCACCATTTTAGCAGTCTGATAGTTCCAGGCTCAGTAAGGGATGTTGAGCAAGTTGATGTGTATAAAATAAAGCTGCTTTGCCTCCCAGACTGTTTTGGTGCATGGCACCTCTTGCCTGCTGTGGGTCCTGGAGAATTTATAACTGGCAGCTTGTATTGGTCTGTCATGGTAGGTGCTGCTGGGGTGCATGGGTCCAGCTGGTGTACTGCTGGGTATGCTGCTGCTTGGTCGGGCTAAGCTCCTGATCAGTGACTACTGATGTTGCTGGGGGCCAGTGTCAGCTCCCAGTTTGTGCTGCTAGTGCTGCTGCTGTTGCCAGGAGATACTCTCAGCTCCCAATTCTCTGCTGCTGTTGGGGCTGAGCATGCTCAGCTCCTGGCCTTTGTTGCTGCTGGGGGAGGGGCTCCACTCCAAATCCACTGCTGCAGTTGTCAAGGGTGACTCTAAGCTGCCCAAGTTTTTCTGCTGCTTGGCCTTGGGCACCACTCCTAATCAACCTCTGCTGATGCTTCTGGGGATGAGTCTCAGCTGCCGATCAGCACTGCTGCTGCCTGAGGATGGATGTCTGATCCTGAGCAAGGGAAGGTGCTGGGCTCCTGAGCTGGTGCTACTGCTGCTGCTGTGGGGTGGTGCTCGGCTCCTGGCTGGTTGCTGCTTTCTCAAGCATGTACCTTGACAGAGCTGCTACTATGTGCTGGTCTGCATTGACACAGCGAGGTCTACTGGCCCCATAGAGCAAGGTGCTCAGTTTACTGGGCCCTAATCACTCCCTGCTGCCTCCTCAGAGAAGACCAGTGGATTTTTTGTTTTTTGTACATGCCCCTAGCGGGAACTGAACCCAGGACTCTCTGGTCCACAGGCTGATGCTCCAACCACTGAGCCAAACTGGCCAGGGTACCAGTGGATCTTTTCAAAATGGCAGGGCCTTCTGTGCAGGAAGAAATGCCCTGACAAGCCACTTACCGTGGTAGCCGGGTACTCTGTAGTCCACAGCACAGGAAACCTTTGCACCAAGTTTCTGCACTGCTCGAGGTTGCTTATCTACACTTGCATCCACTCACACTCTCTCTCACACTTGCTCACAGTCTCACATACTCACCCACACTTTGGCCCTGCCCTCTGCAATATTTTTTTTCTGAGATTGTCTATTTTTTTTTAGTCAGTTTCTATAGTTGTATCTTTCTAGAAATTTGTCCATTTCATCTAAATTATCCAATTTATTGGCATACTGTTGTTCATAATATTCCTTTATAGTATTTTTAAATTTTACTTATTTTTTAAATCCTCACTCAGGGATATTTTTCTATTTATCATCAGATAGAGTGAGAGGAAGGGAGGGAGAGAGAGAGAGAGAGAGAGAGAGAGAGAGAGAGAGAGAGAGGAGAGAGAGAGAGAGAGAAACATCAATGTGAGAGAAACATCAATTGGCTGCCTCCTGCATGCCTTGTACCCAGGATCAAGCCAACAACTTGGGTATATGCCCTGACTGCGAATTGAACCTGAACCTCTCAGGCTATGGGACGATGCTCAGTCCACTGGCTGGGCAGTATTTTTTATTTTTTAATGTCAGTAATAATCTTCCATTTTTTATTTTGGATGCTAGTAGTTTGATGATGATTCTTCTTCTTCTTCTTCTTCTTCTTCTTCTTCTTCTTCTTCTTCTATTCTTATTCTTGGTCAGTTTATCTAAATATGTTCAAAGAATCATCTTTTGATTTCATTGATCTTCTCTATTGTTTTTTATTCTTGATTTAATTCTCATCTGTATCATTTGCTTCCTCCTGCTTGAATTTGGTTTTGTTTGCTCTTTTTTTTTTTTTTTTTTTTTTTTTCAGTGTGTTAAGGGGGAAATTTTGGTTATTGATTGAAATCTTTTATCCTTTTATATGTAGACATTTATAGCCATAAATTTTTCTCTGAGCACTGCTTTTGCCACATCCATAAATTTTGGTATGCTGTCTCTTGATTTTTATTTATCTCAAAGTAATTTCTACTTGCCCTTTTGATTTCTTATAGGACCCATTTCTTATTTAGGGGAGTATTTTTTAATTTCTACATATTAGTGAGTTTCCCATTTTTCTTTGTTATTAATTTTTCATTTCATTCCAATATAGTTCAAAGATATACACTGTATTATTTCTATCTTGACTATAAAATTCTTTTAAAAAAAACACATTTTGGTTAATATTTACATTATACAAAACACATTTCTTATAAAATTTTAAGAATTGTTTTAAAAGGTAAAGAGGAAATAAGACTCCCTATAATTAAACTCTCAGATACAATAATTGTTCACATTTTGGTGTCTAGTGTTCTACTGTGTCAATGCATGTGCATTGGACTACTATTTCTTGAACAGTGCAATTAATAAAATATCAGACTCTGGCCTAGTTTATTCAGAGACAGTCCAGTTTAATAGATAAAAGGCAAAGCTGTTCAGGAATGCATTCCTGTTCCCTAGTCACCTAAAAAATGAGGAAGTGGTCACTGATCTCACTGCTATAGTGATGGCCCATATGTGTGGACTTGCCCCTGCTCAGCCATGGGCTGGGAAGTCTGGGCCAAGGTCAGAGAGGGACTGGCTCCTGGTTGAGAAGGCTGGTGTCTTTTACTCTTCTGATTGGTTGAGAAAATTATAATCGCTCCAGGTACATTTTGTATTTTCATTGTGCTTTCTTTTCTTCTCGCAGCACTCTTTCCATTCCTTGGCCCTGTTTTTGAAGTATTTAATATTACGTTATTTCCAAAAAGTGCTACTGATTTTTTAAAAAAATCTGTAGAAAGGATGAAAAAAAGTCGCCTCCAAGATCAACAAAAGGTAAGATCTGGTTGATGGTGGTTTCATGAGTTCACTTTTTAATCATTTATTGAGCTGTGTATGTATGATTTTCTTCACTTTTTTCTTTTTTTTTTAAGTTCGTTTTTTATTGTTTTCATTATTACAGATGTTCCCTATTTTCCTCTCACTTCCCTCCTCCTCCCAGCCTCCAACCGCATCCCACCTCAGGCCTTTACCACACTATTGACTGTATCCTTGAGCTATGCATATATTCATACAAATTCTTTGGTTAATCTCTTCCAGACCTGCCCCCCTTTTCTTCCCTCAGTCTGTTCTGTAGAGAACTCTGGGTTTACAGGAGGAAAGTTAGAACATTTTGTGGAGAATAAAGAAGGTAGAAATTAGAAAAAGAAATTAAAAAATGAGTTAGAGAGACATTGTTTAAAGTGTAATGATAGGCACAAAGATCAGTATATCACTGCATGAATATCATTGAGATAAAAAGTTTACCACTTCCCTTCAATAAACTGTCAAGGTATAAAAATTACTGTTTAAATATTATTTTTCTGTTATCATAATTCCCCAGATTTTATTTTATTTTAATTTTTTATACAGAAAATACACAAGATAAGTTAAGATTTAACGAATTAATTATAAAGTAAACACTCATTCAACTATCAACCAGGTCAAAAAATTGGAAGGCATCAGCCCCCTCAAATTTCCCTGCACTCCCCTCACTGATCATGCACCACACATCTCTGTCCCCTAGAATTAACTGTTACACATGGATTTTGCTTTGAGAGAAATAGCAATTTTATAAAAAGTCAGAGCAGATATTTTTATCTTTTTTACAAAGAAAGTGAGGCAAAGAATGCTTAATTAATTATTTTGCCAAGTTCATATTTCAGATTAGTAGCAGATAGAGGAATCCTTAGTTTAATACTTTTCCAGTGTTCTTATTGTGACTTTGTTCTTGAGTTTTCTGAAATAATACTTGTTTTATGTGCCAGGCATTAAGCTACTCACTTTCCTACATTATATTTATTTTCATTTATTATATTCATTTGCTATTCTTTTTAATAAAGTTGATTAAATGTTTAATTAAATGTGATTTAAACTTCTACATCTTTGTAAGACTTCTTCACAAAAAACAATTCATAGGTTTTAAAAAAGCCTTTGTCAGACTTTGGTGTCCATAATTATAAAGACATTTCCATGTCATAAATCAAATATCTGTATATGTAATATCCCATGGCCATATAGCCTCCGCAGTTTTTATTAATCTGTTGGGTTTGTTATGATGAACCAGCAAGACAATCAGAGATGCACAACAGAATTGTAAATGAGAGGAGCACTTTATTCACCGGCGGGCTGCCGGGGTATAAGTCTCCCAAATCAACAGCCCTGAGCATTCTTGCAGGCAGCTTATAAAGACTAAAATCACATCCTCTTGATGCTGCCTTGGTGCCATTATGGGGAACTGATACAATAGGGGACGAGATGAGCTGTTACACAGACCAGGGCAGTCATTAATCTCTTTATCTTTATGGTTCCTTGGGATTTCGGTCCCTGGTGTTTAGAAACCGCCAGGGTGTGTACGTGCAGCAACTGCTGGTCAGAATGGAGTTACTTAAGTTAAGTAGTCTAGTTCAGGTTCTCTTCTCCCTCATTTAAAAAATCAATTTATGTTAATAGCTGTGAAAATGCAACATGAATTTAAGTCTCTTGTGGCACGGTCTCAAAACAAAGAACCTCTATGAAATGAGAGACCTGAGGTAAACCATTCTATAAATGACCCAGCACAAACAAAATTATTATCCTAGTAGGAAAGGGGGGAAAATGTTGTTTATTTTTATAATAGGCCCTCATAATAAAAATGTGGGCATTTATTTTAAAAATAGAAGGTGCCGCCCTGGCCGGTTTGGCTCAGTGGTTAGAGCGTCGGCCTGCAGTCCAGAGAGACCCGGGTTTGGTCCCCGCTAAGGGCACGTACCTCGGTTGCAGTTTGTCCCCGGCCCTGGTTGGTCGTGCAGGTGGCAGCCACTTGATGTGTCCCTTTCACATCGATGTTTCTCTCTTTCTCTCTCTTCCTCTCTCCCTCCCACTCTACCTGAACAAAAAATGGAAAAAATGTCCTTGGGTGAGGATAAAAAAAAAAAAATAGAAGGTGCAGTTTGGCATAATGATTTTTCATTTTTTTGAGGTTATAGTTTTCTATTATCTTTATTGTTCAAAGTATTACAGTTGTTCCCCTCTTTTTTCCCCATTGACTCCCTCCTCCCTGCTCCCACCTGACTCCTACATTCCCCACACTTTTAAATTAGCAAAAAATCACATCAATTCCAAGCCTGTTATTTTACACATTCTGCAATGGAAGTTCCCATCAGGAACCTGCTGGAGTGTGCTCTGTGTTATATTGACACCTGCTGTGACACTGGAGAAGGTAGTAGTCTTCTCTGGGCATTGAGGTGACAAGCTGGCTAACCCAGATTTGCCTTCATATACTTGGAGGCCAGCACAAGAACGTCTGCATGTCATGGTGATAGGACTAGATATCCCAGGATTTCACTGAACATTGTGGAGAGTTCAGGGATGGTGGGGCATTTGAAGCTGCTCACAGAAAAACTGCCAACAAACTCTGCAGGTGTCAGGGGATTCAGTTATGTAGCCTTTTATAAAGAATTAAGACTGGGACTTCCGGTCAAGATGGTGGCGTAGGTAAACGCGGTATCGCGTCCTCCCACAACCACATCAAAGTTACAACTAAACTACAGAACAACCATCATTCAAAACCGCCTGAAATCAAGCTGAATGGAAGTCGTACAACTACGGAACTAAGGAAAAAAAAAAAAGCAGCTACATCCAGACCGGTAGGAGGGGCGGCGGCGCGAGGGGGGGGCGGCGGCGCGGAGGCGGTGGAGCGCGCAGCGGCGAGACAGGCTGGTCCCACACCCAAGCGTGGTGGATAAAAATCAGGAGGATCCCGCGGCTGGGAAGGTCCTTCCTGAGGACTGAGGGGTCCCCGTCCCACACCAGGTGCCCCGCTCAGGGTTCCAGTGCCAGGAAGAGAAGTCCCCATAACTTCTGGCTGGAAAAACCAGCGGGAACTGAGGCTCAGGGAAGCTGAAGCGGCTGGAGCCCCAGGCAGCTCCCTAAAGGGCCGGCGCACGGACTTATCGGACTCTCTCCCTCTAAGCTCGGAGGGGAGGCAGCTCGAGGGGCACCAGAGACACACAGGGAAGAACTGAGCTGTTTGGCACTGGAGCGAGAGCTGGAGAGGGGGCTTCCTCGGGGACAAACGTGCTGTCAGAGGCCTTTGTTCCTTTGGTGAGCCCTTCCCGGGGGCGGCAGACAGAAGCCATATCTGGGACTCCAGCAACCTGGCTCACACTCGTAGCCCCGCCCTGGTGACTCCCTGAGGCCCCGCCCCGCCCCACACAACTTCAACAAGCTGTTGCCACTTGCTTAACCATAGGATTGGCCGGTCTTGGATCCTGCTTCAGGTTTTTCCTAAATTCTTTCAAACGAGCAGCACCGGGTCTCAGCGAGCCCCATACCTCTCATTAAGTAATACACAGAAACAAACACAGGGAGGCAGCCAAAATGAGGATACAAAGAAACAGGTCCCAAATGAAAGAACAGAACAAAACCCCAATAAAAGAACTAAGCGAAAGGGAGATAAGCAACCTAACAGATACTGAGTTCAAAATACTGCTTATAAGGATGCTCAATGAACTTAGTGAGAACCTCAGTGAACTTAGGGAGGGCATCAAGAGCATAAAAAAGGACCAGTTAGAAATCATGGATACACAGTTAGAATTAAAGGAGGCATTAACTGAAATAAAGAATAATTTACACAGCTTCAATAATAGAGTATGTAGATCCAAGGAGCAAACCATCGATTTGGAATATAAGGAAGCAAAAAATCCCCAATCAGAAGAGCAAAAAGAAAAAAGAATCCAAAAAAATGAGGATAGAGTAAGGAGCCTCTGGGATAACTTCAAGCGTGCCAACATTCGCATCTTGGGGGTGCCCGAAGGAGAAGAGAGAGAACAAGAAATTGAAAACCTGTTTGAAACAATAATGGCAGAAAACTTTCCTAACTTGGTGAAGGAAACAGACATACAAGTCCAGGAAGCACAGAGAGTCCCAAACAAGATGAACCCCAAGAGGCCCACACCAAGACACATCATCATCAAAATGCAAAAGGTTCAAGACAAAGAGAGAATATTAAAAGCAGCAAGAGAAAGGCAGCTAGTTACCTACAAGGGAGTACCCATTAGGCTGTCAGCTGATTTCTCAAAAGAAACTTTGCAGGCCAGAAGGGAGTGGCAAGAAATATTCAGAGTGATGAAAACCAAGAACCTACAACCAAAATTACTCTATCCTGCAAAGCTGTCATTTAGAATCGATGGACATACAAAAACTTTCCCAGACAAGAAAAAGTTAAAGGAGTTCATCACCACCAAACCGTTATTATATGAAATGATGAAGGGTCTTTTTGAAGAAAAAGATAAAATGTATGAACAAACAAAATGGCAATGAATACATATCTATCAACAATGGAATCTACAAACAAAATGAACAGGAAGAACAGAAACATTCTCATAGATACAGAGAACATTTTATTGGTTGCCAGTTGGGAAGGGGGTTGGGGGAATGGGTGAAAAAGGTGAAGGGATTAAGAAGCACAAACTCATTGCTAGACTGACAAACCTCAAAGGGAAAGGGGTTGGGGGGGTGGGAAGAAATAAACCAAAGAACTTATATGCATAACCAATGGACACAGACAATAGTGTGGGAAAAGGTGGGAGGGGGGCGGGAGTGGGGAGGAGGGGGTCAATGGGGGAAAAATGTGGAACATCTGTAATACATTTTACATCCAACAATAAAGATTTGGAAAAAAAAAAAAAAAAAAGAAGACTGGACAAAAAAAATCAGGGACTTTTTTAAGAGCCAGCAGATATGACGAGAGAGGCAGCAGACACGTTTTTGGCCAGGAAGCTGTGTTCAAAGGTGAGAAAAGCCATTTGGCAAAGAAGCAGGATACAAAATTAACGTCAAGATATCGACGGCATTCGTGTACACGAATGATTAACTCACAGAAAGAGAAACTAAAAAAAAAATCCCATTTACCATTGTGGCAAAAAATTAAGATACCTAGGAATAAACTTAACTAAAGAAATAAAGGACCTATTTGCAGAAAACAACAGGACATTGAAAAAATATATAGGAAGATATAAAAAAGTGGAAGCACATACTATGTTTATGGATTAGAAGAATTAACATCATTAAAATGTCCATACTACCCAAAGCAATCTATAGATTCAATGCAATCCCCATCAAAATACCAATGACATATTTCTCACTACTAGAACAAATACTTCAAAAGTTCATATGGAACCAAAAAAGTCCCCAAATAGCCACAGCAATTTTGAAAAAGAAGGACAAAGTAGGTGGGATCAAAATACTACAAAGTGACTGTAATCAAAACAGCCTGGTACTGGCACAAGAACAGGCATATAGACCAGTGGAACAGAACTGAGAACCCAGAAATGGACCCAAGGCAATATGCTCAATTAATATTTGACAAAGGTGGCAAGAGCATACAGTGGAGTAAGGACAGCCTCTTTAATAAATGGTGTTGGGAAAATTGGACAGCTACATGCAAAAAAATGAAACTAGACCATCAACTTACACCAACACAAAAATAAACTCAAAATGGATAAAAGACTTAAATGTGACCCGTGAATCCATAAAAATTCTAGAAAAAAATGTAGGCATCAAAATTTCGGACATCATATGCAGCAGAGTTTTCACTGATATATCACCTAAGGCAACAGAAACAACAAAAAAAATGAACACATGGAACTACATCAAACTAAAAAGCTTCTGCACCGCAAAAGAAACAATTATCAAAATGGAAAGGCAACCCACTGAATGGGAGAACATCATTGCCAATGATACATCAGGTAAGAGGTTAGTTTCCAATATATAGAGAGTGCTCATACAGCTCAACAAAAGGAAAACAAAAAACCCAATTAAAAAATGGGCAGAGGAGCTGAATAACACCTCTCCAAACAGGACATACAAATGGCTAAGAGACATATGAAGAAATGCTCAATATCACTAATCATCAGAGAGATGCAAATTAAAACAACAATGAGGTATCACCTCACACCTGTCAGAATGGCCACCATCAACAAATCATCAAACAACAAGTGTTGGCGAGGATGTGGAGAAAAGGGGACTCTAGTACACTGCTGGTGGGAATGCAGCCTGGTGCAGCCACTATGGAAAACAATATGGTGTTACCTCAAAAAATTAAAAATTAAACTTCCATTTGACCCAGTGATCCTGCTTCTAGGAATATACTCTAAGAAGCCTGAAACACCAATCAGGAAGAATATATGTACCCCCATGTTTGTAGCAGCACTAAGATCTGGAAACAGCCCAAGTGACCATCAGTAGACGAATGGATAACAAAGCAGTGGTACATATACACAATGGAGTACTATGCAGCTGTAAGAAAGAAAGATCTCTTATCCTTTGAGACAACATGGAGAGACCTGGAAAGTATTATCCTAAGTGAAATAAGCCAAGCAGAAAAAGACAAATACCACATGATCTCACTTATATATGGACTATAATGAACATAACAGTCTGAGGAATATGGTAGACCCAGAAACATGGAAGTAGGGCACAGATTGACATCCCTCAGAAGAGGGGGGGGGAATAGAAAGAGATAAACCACAGAACTTATATGCATGTATGCATAACCAATGGACATGGACAACAAAGCCGGAGACCGGGCAGAGGGTATTGGGAGGGGGGTGCCAATGGGGTAAAAAAGGAGAAACATCTGTAACAAAAAAAATTTTTTTAATTAAAAAAAAAAAGTGAGAGAAGCCAAAGATTGGAGAGAATGAGGACCAAAAAGCAGTTGGACACAATGGCTGGATTTCTCTCAGGGAAACATCTTGTCTCCAAGATTTGTAGCTGCACGTTTTTATTCACTGATGACTCGGGCAGCACTAGTGAGATTTCTGGACTTACACGGGCCATATTGCCTAAGCTGGTTTGTCTCAGTGGTTAGAGCATCAGCCCATGGTTTGATTCAGGTTAATGGCATGTACCTCAGTTGCAGTTCAGTCTCTGGCACTAGTCGGGGTCATGTGGGTGGCAACCAATTGATGTGTCTCCATCACATCCATGTTTGCCTCTCTCTCTCTCTCTCCCTCCCTCCCTTCCTCTCTATCTGAAGATAAATGGAAAAATATCCTTTGGTGAGGATTTTAAAAATAAATAAATGAAGGTGACATATTATACAGCATATTGAAGATACCCAATAATATTGTAATAACTATGTATGGTGCCAGGTGGGTACTGGAAATATTAGGGGGAACACCTTGCACAGTATATGATTGTTAACCATTATGCTGTATGCTTGAAATTAATACAAAACCATATTGAATGTAAACTATAATAGAAAAATAAAATTAAAAAAAGAAATAAAGGGGCCATATTATCAGGAAAGAAATTTAGTACTGCACTCTTAATTTAATTCTAACATTGAAATGTCTCCATTGGTTTCCAGCACCGAGTGGATTTTTTTCAACTGATGATTAACTCCCAGAATTCCAAAGAAGCGGGTTCCCATAAAGGTAAACAAGGCCTGCTTCAGAGGGCCAGTGATGGGGAGGCTCACAGGTAGAGGTGGTTCTGAAAATGTACAGGAAGGTTTCCATGCAGATAAGAATTTCTGGCAAAGTGAAGATACATGCTTAGATATAAATGGTGGCCAGAGTCACTTTCTAAAGACATGCAAGTACACCTTTGTTCAAAGCTTAAAGGGCACCATAAACACGAATTTTACACCCAGAATTCAGTCAGTGGTCTGTGGATCACCTACACCAGCACCTCTGGGGAGCTTGTTTGCAGTGTCTATTCTCTGGTCTCATCCAGCTGCCTGGAAATTTGCATTACGACCTTTCATCACATCAGGAAACACATTGCCCCAGTGTTGGTGACCTTAACTTGGAACAGCTGGTTAAAACTGTGTTCACTACCTTAATCTATAGTAAAGTTTTATTTTTCATTTGTAACTAATAAGTAACTTGTGGGGAAGCCTCTGAGACTAAGTAAACATTCAGCTCCTCTTCAAACTTTCACCTACAAGTTTTATCATCCATGGATGGTTTTTGACTGATCATTATTACTATCATCGCTGCAAAATAATGACTTTCTAATTTCATCATTTCTTCTGCATTTACAAGTTGATGTTCCACTATAGGGGAGAGATTTTCATTTTCCCTTATTTATTTGTTTATTTATATCAGTATTATCTCATATACAGGGTGTGGCAAAAGTAGATTTACTGTTGTGAGTACATGAAACACAAGAGTATATTCTTTATTATTATTTATTTATTTATTATTGTATTATTTTCTATATGAACAAATGTAAACCTACTTTTGCCCCACCTGATTTTAGAAATTTACTCTCTTTACATCATCATTTTTTTTTTTTTTTATATGTCATGTTTTGGGTTTTTTTCCTCACCTGAGTACACTTTTCTACTTATCATCAGATATAGTGGGAGGGAAGGAGAGAGAGAGAGACAAAAAGAAACATCAATGTGATAGAGCCACATCGACAGGTTGCCTCCCACATGACCAGACCAGGGCCGGGGTTGAACCACAAGCAAGTTACATACCCATGAATCAAATCGAACATGCGACTCATTGGTCTGTGGGCCAACGCTCTAATTGCTGAACCAAACCAGCCAGAGCATATTTTTTTTAAATTGATATTAGAAAGAGAAGAAAGGGGGCAGGAAGAGAGAGAGAGAAACATTGATTTGTTGTTCTACTTATTCATTGGTTGATTCTTTTTTTTTTTTTTTTTTTCCTTTATTGCTTTTAGAGAGAGAGGGGAAGAGAGAGGAGAGAGAGATAGAAACACTGATGAAAGAGACATCGATTGGCCACCTCCTGCATGCCTCCCACTAGGGATCAAGCCCACAACCTGGGTATATGCCCTGACCAGGAATCCAACTGGCAATCTCTTAGTACATGAGTTGATGCTCAACTACTGAGACACACCAGCCAGGCCATTGATTGATTCTGGTATGTGCAGCCTTGATGTATCAGGATGGCACTCTAACCAACTGAACTACCCTGTGAAGGCACATCATTCTTTTTTTATTTTTTGATGGTCAAATTCTCAGGTTTGTTCACTGAAGTCCTTTCAAGTAGGTTTGGGGGTCCTTTTCTCTTTCTTTGTAATTTTTTCAATAGAATTTATTTTTTAGAGCTATTTTAAGTTCACAGCAAAATTGTGTGAAGGGGACAGAGATTTCCCATAACCTCTTCCCCTCACCTATACTCAGCCTCCTTGACTATCAAAATCCCTCACAGGAATGTATCATTTTTTACAGTCAGTGAACCCACATTGACACATGATTATCACCCAAAGTGCATACTTTAAAATAGGGTTCACACTTGGTGTTGTACATTTTATGGGTTTTAATAAATTGATAATAACATATGTCCATCATTATAGTATACAGAGTGTTCTGTATATTTTTCACCTATCATTTTCTGATTACTTCTTTGAGTTCTGGTGCAAGGCATTCTAGGTTTCCCTATATTTCCCCTGATCAACCCTGGAATTAGCCATTTCACCAAGCAGTTCTGGTTTATTTTAGTGAGAAATGGTATTTAGAAACCAAAATCAGATCTAGGAGTGCTCATTGTTCTAAGGTTTTCTTACTTCTAGATTGTCTCAGTGGACAAAGCTTAGAATATCAACTATATTTACACTGGTTGGATAAACATATTTCTATATATAACCATATCTTCCCTCCTTCAAAAAAGATAAATCTGCCCTGGCCGGTTCAGCTCAGCAGTTAGATCATCAGCCTGTGGACCAGAGAGGCCTGGGTTCGGTTCCCACTAAGGGCGTGTACCTTGGTTGCAGTTTGTCCCTGAGTGGGTGGCAACTACTCGATGTGTCTCTCTCACATTAATGTTTCTCTTTCTCTCTTCCTCCCTGTCTCCTTCCTACTCTGCCTGAAGATAAAAAATACAAAAATGTCCATGGGTGAGGATAACAACAACAAAAAAAGAAAAATCCATTCTTTATTGTTTATTCCTATGGTATAAATACTTTCATCATGGTTAATTTCAAACAATTAATGGCTTGACAACCATTTCACAAAAATTCTGAATATTAATAGTTGGTTCTACAGAACAGGAACAAGATGATTCCAGCACAACACTATAAATATATCTATACCTATGTATCTATCTTTCTTACTCTCCTTCTCTCTCTCTCTCACACTTTCTCTCTCTCTCCCTCTCTCTCTTTCTTTCTTTCCTTATCTATCTATGTATCTATCTAGTCCAGTACAACCTTCTGTGATGAAGGAGAACATATTCTATGTCTGCATTGTTCAACAGAGTTACCACTAGGCACATGTGGCTATTGCACACTTGATATGTGTGCAGTGCAACTGAAAACTGAATCTTAAATTATATGTAATTTTAATGAATTAGAATCTAAATAGACACATGTCACCAGTGGTTACCATATTGGACAGCACAGCTCAAACTTTGAATATCACGAGGTAGATCCTAACTGGGGGAAGGAATTTGATAGTTGAATTTACCCCAAACAGCATCATAAAGATCATCTTTGGAAAATCAGAACTCTGTAGACCTTTCTTGTTTTTAGTTGTGAATTGCAAGGTTGTGGGGAGTACCATGTTTATGTCACCGCTCTAAGTGTCTAAAGGTCCTAATCTAGTCCCAAGCAAATTGATTAGAGGTTAACCACAATTATTCTCTCAGGAGAAAATAAAAAAGGAGGCCAGTTTGCTCACAAGACCTGTTTGGGGGGCATGTGCTGAGAAAGATGACATTCAGGTCATGATTAATAAATTTTGCTAATTCCACTCCCTACACCCTATTTTTCTATTTTATGCTGCCCAATACCCTTCTATTGACAAACTTATTCTTCAGCTATTTTAATGCCACTGATTAGTCTAGAATCAATCTCTACTTTTCTTTCTTTCTTTTTTTTTTTCCTATCTCAGTAGTTTCTATACACATCTGAGATCATTCATTTTGAAGATATGAATCCCAGGTTTTCTATTACCTCTGCTGCCTCTTCAAGGTATAATCTGACCTTCTCAACCTAGGTTGTGCACACAAATCATCACATAACTTGAAAGTTCATATTGTGATTCAATAGTTCTAGTGTGTGGTTTGAGATTTCGCATTTCTAATAAGCTCCCAGATACTGCTGATGCTGCTGGTCCATGGACAATACCTTCAGTAGAAGAGTTTATCTGTAGCTCATTATTGTTCTCTTAAGTTCCTAAAAACATGTTTAGAAGAAAGATCCTTTAATTTTTCTCTACATAAACCTTAGTATTGCAAATTGTCTAAAAAAAATCCAGGTATATTTCACATAGAATAATTTAAAATTTTTCTGGGAGAGAATGCTACTTCATATTACTTGTAGCTAAACTACTTTTAGGATTCTCAAATAACGTACTATGTATGTTACACAAAAATGCTATCTCTGGGATTATACAGCTGAGTTAGTGGTGAGAGTGATATAACCAGGAGCCAATGGCCAAGAATAATGTAGATATTTGGAAAATCTTTTTTTTTTGCACTTTTCTGAATCTGTAGTATACACATCAGAGTGAAAACCCCTCCTAGTTTGATCTGAATTAATTTCCTTTTTTTTTTTTTCTTCCAGAAGTTTGAGGTTTCATTTAGATTTCTCATAGTCTAAACTGTGGTGATGTACATTGACCTGCTTTACCTAAAATGTCTTTCTTCTCCTTTTAGCTCTGTCTGATCTGGAGCTCATTGCCCAGTCTATTATCTTTATTTTTGCTGGCTACGAGACCACTAGTACTTCTCTCTCCTTCCTTATGTATTTGCTGGCCACTCACCCTGATGTGCAACAGAAACTGCAAGAGGAGATTGATGCAACATTTCCCAATAAGGTGAGTGGGTGATACCTGCAGAGGGAGGGAGAACATAAAGCCTTAGCATGAATGCCTCCTCACCACTTCCTAGGAGAATCTTTGCAAAGAGCATAAGCATCAATTCTTTCATCTGTGCTATTTAGGAGAGATGTAAAGAGACAAAAGCAAACAAAGAAATATAGGCAATGTGTGCTTTTTGCAGATTATAAGATCTTTGAACAAAGTGCTTTCCTGGCATATCAGTCATCTGTTATTACAATAGTGTCAAGTGAAAAAAAACAACTCAGTGATAATTAACAATAGGAATCTATTGCTCAAGAGTCTGGATAATTATCTGTGTTGATACTGACTGGACTTGCTTTGGTCTGGCTCTTGGCTGATCTAGCCTGACTCTGGCTAAGCTGGCTGGGTGACTCAGCTCCACACTTGCTCCACCCATCTCCCACACTCCAGACAACTAGCTTTGGTGTGTTCTTCTCAGGCAATGGCAGAGGGAAAGAGCAATAAGCCCAATCATATTGGTGACTTTCAGAACTCTGCTTGCTTAACACTTAGCCAACATTCCATTGACTCAAAGTATGCTACATGGCCAACCCCAGCATCATAATGGGAGGGCACCACAAAATTAGATGACTCAAGGCATGGACACAGGCAAAAGTGGAGAACTGGCACAGATAGTGCAATCTGCCACCCTGGGTAAACATTGCAGACTAGGAGAAGCCTGATATACAGGGAAAAGCATAGGATAGAAAATACAAGACAGGTTTGAGTCTAAACTATGGTTTTGGACAGGTCATATGACATTTCTGAGTCATAGGTTTTTCAGATATAAGGTAAAAATTTTAGAACCTACCTAATTAGAGATTATCTTTCTTCTCAAGGAAAGTCCATATTGGCATTCCATTGATAGCAATAAGATGGAAAGGTCACTAAGAGAAACAGACTAGCTAAAGGATTGTGCTCTGCTTTTCTATACTAATCATTACAACACTAATAGCTAGCATTTGTTTCTTACTGTATATGTCTATTCTAAATGTCTTGCATTTGTAAATAAATTTACTCTTTAAAAAATTCTGTATTAGCCAGGATAGGCTAGGTTATGCCTTGGTAACAGATTGGTCCTCAAATCTCAGTGGCTTTACATAGCAAAATTTTACTTATGATGTTTATATGTCCAACATGGATTGTTAGAGGAGGATGAGAATGGAAGTCTCTTAGTTACTTGGAAACATAAGGTAAAAAGTCCTCACTTTCTTGTAGCTGCACTTTCTAGAACACAAAGTCTTCATGTTGGTTGGGTATAAAGAACTAGAGTGTTGCTCACTGGATTTTCATATATTTTGGCTCTGAACTTGCATATGTCACTTTAGCTCACAACTCATTCTCAAAGCAGGTTTTCCCTAATCTCAAGTAGGTTGGGAGATGTGGAGACTACATGGATATTGGGTGAGCAGTGAATTTCTCTGCCACACAACCCTGTGTAACGTATCAGAAAAGTGAGCTACTAAACAATGAAATAACTTTCATACACTAGTCATATAGCTAGTGGTGAAGAAGCCACTAGCCAAACCCTTAACCTCTACTATATTGCTTCTTCAGTATAACACCAAGGAATAACCATATATTGCCCACACTGATTTCAGGTATCTGACAAAACTGGACCTCTTTGTGGTGTGAAAGGACTGGTCTGGGGCTGGAGAGGCCATTTGAGATCTTCACATCTTACAGTCAAACCCTGAGGCAACAGCTAATGCAGTGTGGGGCTGAGTAGGGTTCCACTTCTTTCTAACTTTCACTAGAATGAAATTGTGTGCCCTGGTAGCTATCATCCAGTTATACCCTTCTTTTGCCATATTTGGTTTAGAAAGGAACTTGTTTCTCTCCAGTTATTTATGTAGTTTCTATTTATATATTGTTTCTCTCAAATTATATATACAATCTAAAGAGTTAGAAAGCAGGATTTTTCAACTGTAAATTTTATGTCAAATAAGGATTTTGATCTTTTACATATTCTCTTTCCTTGGTACAGAAGTGTGGCTTCTGTTTTGAAAGGAAATAGTGACTTTGGCATATTTTAGTTAAGACTAAGTTAAGGGTCATAGTCTATCAGTCACATTTGTTCCCATGAAATTACTACATGGTAATGTGAGGGATTTGGGGTCCTGTTTAGAGAATTGTGCCCAAGGTCTCCCATAGTCATAACTACTACACACATCTCAATGAGCCATTAAGCAGGTCAAAGGACATGATAGATATTAAAATGTCTATTAATCCCTTTACCAAAATAAGTTATTCTTTGGAGCTCCTAACATTTCTATAGAACTACATAGACTGGGTTGAAAGTTGGTCTCAAATCTCAATTTATCAAAATCTGTTTCTTTCTTCCTAGGCACCTCCCACCTATAATGCCGTGGTGCAGATGGAGTATCTTGACATGGTGTTGAGTGAATCTCTCAGATTATTCCCAGTTGCTGGTAGAATTGAGAGGGTCTGTAAGAAGGATGTGGAAATCAATGGAGTGTTCATTCCCAAAGGGACAGTGGTGATGGTGCCAAGCTTTGTTATTCACCGAGACCCAGTGCACTGGTCAGAGCCTGAGGAGTTCCGTCCTGAAAGGTACTGGGTTCTTGGGAAAGAGAACCCACTCTGATCCAGGCTGGCTGGGCATATTCTGATGTCTGTTAGTATAGATAATAAATGTGTGGTTGTGCAAATATTTATTTGTATACTTTTTTATTTTTAGAGGTTTGTTTTCTTATTACAAGACTGATTATTATTTTACAATCTCGGGACTAAAGAATAGAAAGTTGTATTTGTGTATAGTCCAAATACCTTAAGATAGGCCTCATTAATAATGTGATATATATCATACTGACATTTTGCTATGAATATATAAATTTTATAATTTAGAATGACATCCTGTATTTTTCCATCATTTATTTTTTAAAAACTTATCTTTATTGTTGAAAGTAATACAGATGTCCCTCCTTTTTGTCCCCCATTGACACTCTCCTCTTCTCTCCCACCCCCCTCCCACCTTCACCACACTGTTGTCTGTGTCCATTAGTTAGTTGTCCATTATATATGCATATAAGTTCTTTGGTTTATCTCTTCTCACCTCCTACCCTCCTTCCCTCTGAGGTTTGTCAGTCTGTTTTCTACTTCCATGTCTCTGAATCTGTTTTGTTCATCAGTTTGTTTTGTTCATTAGATTCCACAAATAAGTGAGATCGTGTGATACTTGTCTTTCTCTGACTGGCTTATTTCGCTTAGCATAATACTCTCCGGGTCCCTTCATGTCGTCTCAAAGGATAAAAGATCTTTCTTTCTTACAGCTACATAGTATCCCATTGTATAAATGTACCATGGCTTTTTTATCCATTCATCTATACTGATGGACACTTGGGTTATTTTTAGACCTTAGCTATTGTAAATAGTGCTGGTATGAACGTAGGGGTGCATATATTCTGATTGGTGTAGAATGACATATTTTACACTACTTACTTTATTTAATAGTAAACTATAAACTATATGCTATGTATAAAACACCATCATATATAGGAGGCATATATATTTTTTTATCAGTCTGTGATTACATTCACATGCCATAATTTACTTAATCACTCTGATTTTAGAAATACAGGCTTTTTTTTTTTTTAAGTTTTTCTGTGCTATTCTCTTTCACTCTCTGAATTTACCACCAGTGTTCCTATAATGTATTTTTTAAAAACGTTGGCTGCTGTTCCTTTAGCATTATTGGGAGAGTGCAGGCTGACAGCCTGAGAGGTCCTCATCCCTGATGGTTTAAGCAGCCCCTTGAGGACAGAGGTGAATAGAGATCTCCCTGTGCTGTCTTTGACTGCAGTTCTGTGCCAGCTTTCTCCTACTCTCAGTATTTGGTGACTTCCAAAGGGAAGTGATCTGCTCTCTAGACCTTCTAAGACACTCCTCCTTAGGGGTCTTTAGCATGTTCTCTGGGAATTCAGAACCAAATTCCGGCTTGAACTCTGGAAAGAGTTGATGCTTCCCATTTAGAGTATTGGTGAGTAAATTGGAAAGAACTATTTAGGGCTCTAACTGTGATCTATACTTTTACTAGCACAACTGTAAGATTCCTAATGGCAGGGACCTTGTCTCATTTACCATGGTGTCCTTAGTTCTAGCTTATTGTCTACACATAGTACTTGTTGAAAGAAAGTTAGTTGACCAAAATTTTGTTTTCTGCACCAGGGGAACTTTTTGGTTCCTCGAAGCTTAGTAGCCTGCCCGTACCCCCGCCCCTCCCCAATAGCTTCATGAACATGAAATCAGAAATCTTTTACAGTATTTCTTTTTAAATTAAATTTATTGGGGTAACATTGATTAATGATATCATATAAATTTCAGTTATATAACTATTTATTTATTTATTTATTTATTTATTTATTTATTTTTGATCAGCAACAGTTTAATTAAGCCATAGCATTTTTAGGGTTTTCAAATGAGTACAATATAAAATCTCTCATAAAAATTATAATGATGCAAGGTAGACTATATTTTAGTACTGGTATAAGGGCAATAGCGGCTCTACAAATATTTAACTATAGGATTTCTATAACATTTTTTATGAACCTTTATTCCACAAGAATTATCAAATCATTTAAATTAAATTTATATAATACACAGTGGTTTATTAATATTAGAAGCATTATGAGTGCCTCTTAAAATATACTGTACAAATGCTCAACTGCTTTATTCTCAGTGATCATTCCCTCTATTCACACATAATATAAATGTTGATAGCAGGTTACATATAAACTTCTACTAGAAGCACAAATGTTTAACTATTATCTGTTGAATTTTCATCTATAAATGTGCTGTGAACATAAATGTGGATGTCATAAAAACAAAACAGTGTCCCCAGGTCTGCTTTCCAGTCCTGTGACTTTTACAAGCAATATTTATCTGTAGAAATATAGGCATTTCTGGAAAATTGCTAAAATATCTTTTTATCCTAAATTAACCAGGGGATATTTCAAGGATATCATCTATGTAGTTACTTCTCAGGCTAAATAAGTGCAGTGAAGATATGAAACCCCTTGGTTCCTATCCATGAACAACTGCTCTCCTTATTTCTGGAACTGCAGTGGCAGTTACAGCATTAAAGCTAATCCTGCATATTCAGTCACACTCACGCTAATGAGAGTTTCCCTTCCTCCATGATACTTAGAACGTTAGTGATAGGGATCCTTGATGAAGCTATAATAGTGTCCACTGTTAAGTAGATGTTTCTGACAAATGGGGGGAGGTTCCCAGAAATACCTGGCAACTTTGTAGGGGGCTGACTGACTGATAGGGTCACCAAATAAATATACAATGCCCAGTTAAATTTGAATTTCAGGTAAATGGTAAATTTTTTTTGTATACATATATCCCACGCAATATTTGGGACATAATTATACTAAAAAAATATTCATTGTTTAATGGGACATATTTATGTTTAAAAGTTATTCGTTGTTTATCTGAAATGCAAATTTGATTGGTGTCACATATTTATATTTACTAACTCTGGCAACCCTGGACTGGCAGGGAAGAACAAAAATCCAGTTAGGTGTGCATTATTACTGTTACTGAATCAGCAGGCTACTGAAGACAGAGTATCTAGTGAACCTGCTACAGACCTCAAAGAATCCTTCACAGGGCACTGAGGAAAACACAGGTTCATGTTGAAGTCTTCATGAAACTTATATGTAGCTGTATGAATGTGGACAGCACACATCAAAATAACAAATATCTCAGACTTCAGTGAGCCAGATAGAACTACATACCCAAGATGTTAGAAATGTTACATTCTAATTTGTAAGGTCACATTAGGTCTTTTGCCTCCAAACCTTTTGGAAAATAGTTGAATTTGGATGGAGGATGCTCTTACCTCTTAACTGTTTATAATGAACAGAAATAAAATCTAAAGGGTCTTTTTTATTGATCAAGTTTGTAGCACTTAATGAATGTATGAGTTTTATAGGCTGAAATACTTTTCAATTACCTGAGAATACCCAAGATGAATGGGAACTAGGTTATTTTCTTAAGGTTATAACTGCACCTACAGAGTACAAATTAGTTATCTAGTTCAATTTGAGCCTCTCCACCCTAAATTGGGTAATTCCAGGATACAAATTGCTCTGGGGATTGTATTTTCTATTCTGTTCTCTTATTGATCATGCAAACTAGAAAATATCCAAATACCCACTTTATACCACAGTATAAATGGGCTCCATATATATTGTAATTCTTTTAATAGAATTATAAATTAGAATAATTATTTATACATACTACATTTTTTTTAAAAGGAGTGGGGTGACCTTATGGGTATTTTATGGATGATCACATGGATACAGGCAGAGTTGGCATCAGTTTTGTTCATCAAAGCTGCTTGTAGAAAGTGGCAGCGTTTGAGTTGGGCTTCTATGGTGAGCCAGCTGAAACTTTCTCCTTAAGGCTTGGGTCATTGCTGGAGTCAATACAGTTTCTGTTTCCATATTTTCTTTATTGGTAAGAGGGGTCCCACTTGGCTTCTTTCTCCATGGACTTTTCTAAGTGGTTTCCACAAATGTATCTGGCATTTACCAGGAGTAATTAAGACATCTGTAACTTGAGTTGATAACACTTTGGAGTTGGGCTTCAGGGCAACACATTGCAGGTCAGAGACCATAACTAGTGGAATCTGTGCCTTTGGTGAAGGAACAAGCTTCTTCTTTTCATCGAAACTGTTTCCTTTTATTTCACAGTCATTAGATCTTTAGGTGTTATCTGCATGGGTCCATCTTTTTTAAATGGTTCAGCCTGAAGTGCTTTAGTGTGATTGAGTTTTGTGAACAGCACAGGTGCTGTGGGAGGTGGAGGGGCAGGTGGAGGTGGAGGAGGTGGAAGAGGAAGTTGGCCTGCTGGCTGTGGCAATGTGGCAGGAACTACAGCTTGGGATTCTCCAGGTGTGGTCAAAGCACAGGTAGGCACATTTGTAAGTTTACCACTCATGTAACAGTTTTGACCACAGCTTGGACAGGTAGAATTTTCTGAGATGCTTTTCAGTGCTTCCTGGAGCTTGCTTAATTTACTTTCTGAAATGCAAAACTGCTGTTTTAGACTGTGAATTTCTCAATGGCAGAAAAGATGGTGTCTTTCAATACTTCTAAACTCTGGGTTTTGCCGTTCTGGCACCAGTTGTATGTCAACCATCCTCTATTTGTCCAAAGTTTTACTGCATCTTTAATACTTGGAAATTTGAATACCAGGATGATCTTAGCCAGCTTCTGCTAAGGGGTGTATTTGTTGAAGGAATAACCACTCTTTCTGCTGAGGGTGGCAGAGGGGGAGGTATAAGTAGCTTGGACTGAAAATAAGGGGCTTTTTTTTTAATCATATAAGTGCAAAATGTTATTTCTTTATACAACTATAATAGAATTTGGGTTAAACCACTAGGATTTATTTTTTAAAAGATATAAAAACTGCAAGAAGATCTGAATCCAAAGTTTTCCCTCTGATAGTACCAAATACCACAGGTACAGGTTATTATACAAATGTGTACAAATTTTAAATACAACAGGATTTGATTTGAAAGGAAAACAAACAAAAAGCAG